TCAAAATACCTATATTAGAACAGTGCTGTATATAAATATAATACATATCCTAAGTCGCGCTTTCCAGACATGAAAAACGCAAGTTGAATTTCGTCAATCGGCCCAGTAGAACTGGAGACATAGAACTGTTCCACTGTTTTTTCGCAGTGTACTCATCATGAAGATATGTTTTTGTTATTGGAAAATGCATACTTTTCTTTGAAAGAATTGGTACTTTTTTGAGTTAAACCAGATAATAATATACCATTACATGAAGCAAAAATTAATTTTGTTAATGCAGTAAGCAAATATAATTATTTGTGCTTATTTACTTTTTAATGCTTATTTTTAGCTAATTATTTATAACAGATATGAAAATATAAAAAACTGCTAATTTACACCTAGTTAACAGTAATTATTTATTGCTCACTATTAGTAAATTCTTACAATATGCAAAAAATAAGTAACATTACATTTTTACAGTACAAAGGATTTTCTTCCTCCTTCCCGCATGCCTTTGTGGTGCAATTGGAAGCATACTCGACGCGTATTCGCGAAGTTCAGGGTTCGAGTCCTGTCGAGGGTTACACACATTTTTCATGTCTTCTGCTTTAAAAAAACCTAATGACTCTACAACAGTAAAAAATTTATTTGCATAATATTCTATTTCTGTCATTTTATCAGGTTTCGAGAAATATATGATAGAAAAATACCTTTGAGTATTCTAGGATTTACAACAATGTACCTGTGATTTTTATCTTATATGTGACTCATAGGAATTCATGTAGAAAAAATATAATAGGTTTACGCTCAGTAGAATTTTATTTACTGGATAATCAACCGTAGAATTTCTCCAAGATTCAGTTTTAGAAGAAAAGTTTCAGATTTTTGTATTTTATGTAGCAAATCCAGAAAATATAAATCCAGGCACTGCTTTTCTAAAAAATGCCTTGCAGCAATCATGAATTTTTTATGTTTTATCAAGTACTGACTAGATTTATTCTACACAAACAGTTATCTATTGCTCCTCCAAATCTAATTCAGAATTCTGAAATCCAGAATTGAGAAAATGTCCATGGGCGAAAGGGAAAGAAAGGATTTTTGAAGCACAGTGTTCTTGTGATACTATTTTATGAACAGCCGAGCTAATGCTTTGTAAAGCAGTGGTTTCTTAAGCAATAGCATTTCAAAGGAAACATAAACTTCTGTTTAGCTAACATTCATCAAATCCACTCTTTGTTTTAATTTCCGTTAACTGAACATAAGTTTAATAGATCGTCATATATTCTGACTAACTGGAACCGTAGCTGTTCTGCATTTTCATAAAATATGGAGGAATGGGTAATCATTTTTTCTAAACTACAAATAAGTATATAGCAGGCTAAATCAAACTGCAGCTCTCCAGCTTCATTTGGCATTTTGGTTACTTTTTTCGGAATAAAAATTTAAAGTAGAAACTATTTTTCATGTATGTAAATTTTACATATAATAAGATAAAATAATTTTCAGTGGCGACAGAATGGGGAATTTTCATGTCTGTTCATTCTACTTTTAGGCAAGAAGCACTTGTTATGACTAAACAGTGATTTACTGAGAAAAACAAAGAACAGAAGAGCTATACATTTTTTTTCTTATTCAATAATCATTACACTCGACATGTTATCGAGCAGTGTGAACAAATCCGCATATCTTACACGCATTCATCTAAATTTATATAATATCTTCTTATATTATTAATTTATTATAATTGACGATTGAATAAAGTATGGAATGCGAACAATATATTACCAAAAGGAGAATAAGTAGATAATTAATAACAAAATGCTAGATTAAGAATTGACTAGCTACGCTTTCGATTTAGTTCCATTAATACGTTAAGATTTAGGTTTGCAAATGTTAATATTATTATTCTCTGAAAGAGTTTTACATTACGTAAATGCATAAGCTTCACATAAGAATCATATGACATGGATTAATTTTGATATAACATAGATCGGAAAGATTTATTATAAGTATGTTACTATTGTTAGAAAGAATAGAAAGGGGGAAATGAGACTGGAGGAGTTGTTGCAAATTTAGAATTTTTTTACATCTTCTTATGGTTGCTCATATGACAGTAAGCGGGTGTGGCCATGTGCACAATATGGTCTTCCCCTGAAGTGGTGCGTCGAAGTGATTTTAAATACTCTTGCCTGTCAGTCGTTCTTTCCATCGAATGGTAAGGAATCGACAAGTGGATGTCTGTTACATTGGTGTTTTTTTTAATGTTTCTTATTTTAATTTTATTGTTTAAGTGTCTTTTTTTTTGTTTGTTTGTTTGTTTATTTTACATGGAATTTTGTTATTTTAGGGACTGAATGTTTAGGGAAATTTGGAAAAAATAAAATGAAACTAATAGTAACGTATTAATTATTTATTTCTTAACATTATTCCTGGAGCAGTTAAAATTTGTATCTATAAATGGTCCATGATACAAAAAATATCAGCATAACTCACTAATCAACATATCATTGGTGTTCTTCGTAAAAATAAGATTTGTATTTGAATTATCTAAAGTAGTTGGATGTTTGGTTGATACTATGTTAAGATTAAAGTACTGTTTCATAAGTCTGAACGATTTCTTATTTTTTACATCGATATTAAAATTGCCCATAATAATTATTAGTATATCTTTGTCGATATGAAGCTCTTCATCAATTAACACACTTGTCCCTGAATATTTTATGAGGACACTAGAACAGAACATTTTGAAATCCGATGCATCTACTCCAGGATGAGTGTAGACATAGGACAACATGCACAGCGACTAACCGTTAATAATTGTAATATCTATCATATAAATATCTGCTATTATGTATCGCAAAATGTATTGGTGTATAATCTGCAACACTGTTTAATCTGCAAATCACTACCTTTTCTTTCTAAGTCTTCTTCTTTACTCTTCAATATGCTCCGTATTCTTAGTGCATCTTTATATATTTCTATGCTTTATATTTATTTTTGTAGAAACAATATCAGTACGTTGCACCCACAATCGTTCACCGTCACAGAACTAAATGTTGATGCTGTTATAATCAAACTCATGCGCACGCATTTGTGATGTCATCAAAATATAGTGTATTTTTGTTTAAAGTTTAAACTGGACTGAGGCTCAACCGTAATTTTAATTTTCAAAATCATTTTTTTTTGTGTGTGTTTACGTTTAATGGTCTCCTTTAATTATCAAATAAGCCATAAATGCAAATTGCAGCTTTTGAGGTTGTTGAAATTTAAGCGTTCTGCTAAGACATGTTTTGTGTCTTAAATTTCTTTTATCCCTGAGATCGTCATTAAGGAACGTAGTCATACGTTAAAAATGCAATTAATGAAAAATCACAACTCTACAAGATTTTCTTTCTTGAATTTATTTCTGGAGGAATTTTAAAAATTTTGAATACTATTTTAGAACCTTTTTAAGCCCAGTAGCTAAAATTAAATTAGAATCCACTTCGCAAACAAATCTCCTCCAGTGACGTCAGAAATAACAATATATATATAATATATTATGTACATATATTTATATGTGTGTGGGTGTGTGTAAATCAAAAGATAATAATTAAATCAAGAAATTTGGGCTATTAATTTTTATCTCTCGTTTTTAAATTCATTTCGCAGTATACTGCTTGACTTGAATAATATATTTCGCCTTATTTTTGAAATTTCTCAACTTATATATATATATATATATATATATATATATGGATAGATAGATAGATAGTAGATAGATATAGATATAGATGCAGATATGTATACATATATAAAAAAGTGTTCTGAGTCACTAACAACGCTAAAATCACCAAGTGATGTCTTTCCTTTCTTTTTCTTTCCTCATACTTAAAGAAATCATTCCTTGTGTGAAATATGGCGCATTCATTCTCTTCTTATGGCTATATTTGCTGTGGGGAGAAGAAACAACTCAATTAATCATATCTTGACAGGTTGCAATGCACTGTTTCTTGTACGTATCGCACCTGTGGGGATCATTGCTCTGACGTAGGCTTTATGTTTGTGTGTTGAGTTAGGTGGGAACTGTTATCGTGTTGTTTATCGGCCTCGGAAGTACAAGCTTTTATTTTCGGTAAAAGTGCAGTGATTTTCTATACAGAAATTTCATTTTTTGATTGAAAATTGTATTTTAGGACAGTAGTGACGGTTTTAATAAGAGCTGAAATTTAGCAAAGGGGAAGCTGAAATTTAACTAAGAAAGGGTAATACAAAGATATTACATAAAACGTAGTTTATGAATTTACCAGTTAAATAGGATTGCCATTATTAGTGATACGTAATTTATTATTTAATTCCAAAAGGTGATAATGACTAAAGTGATATTAAGATGATTTTTGATTTAACAAATTAAATCATTTGACATTAAGTATAAAAAGGATTGGATTAAGATGCTTATTATTCTTACGGAAAATACGCAGTTTCTAAATAAAAAGAATTAATTTTGTTTGCTGCATAACTTATTTAATATTAGAACATTATTCAATATTGGAATCTGATCCGCAATGAATTATTTTTATTGTTGTCTGCGTAATTTTATAAAATATTTTCCGTTATATAATGTATATATCTGTCATCAGTCTGATATTCTCTTATTACTAAAAAAACACAAAACAAATAAGGCCGCATATTAACTAATATGATGATCAGAGACTATTTTTGCCTGGGGTTCACTAAAATTTCTGTTTAGACTACATTTTACTAAAATGAGAAACTAAAAAAATAGTATTTTACGAAAATACAATAACCTTCGTTATCCTCTGGGGTTATATTTTTTATATTATTCCACAGGGCAGACTATAAAAGTACAAAAAAAATGAAGAAGTTTGTGCAACATTTTTCATGCAAAATTTGAGAGGTTTTATGTTCAAAATGATAAAAAAGCATTTTAATATACTCATACAGAAAACATATGTATATTTTCTAACCACAATTTCTTCTCCGTATTTTATATATCTGTTTACATTTTTTTCAATCAGGGGCTGAAAGTCCTCCATCTTTTCCAAATTTGGGTAATTCTTCGTCTCCATCTCCCTCCGCTGGAACTGGGAGGGAAGAGGAAACGACGGAGCCTCTCCGAACCTGCTACCCTGGCCTATGGTACGGCCTCCCAGCTTTCAAGTCCGTGGCTACCTTCGAATCTAGTTTCCCGCTCTTCCCATTTTTCGCACCTCATCTTTTATCGTCAGCTGAAAACAATGCTAGTCATGCTTCCTCTTCAGCTGGTGAGTAATCTAGAATTTTCTTTTCTAAAGAAATGCTATAAATGGACTTTCGAGGAAAAATTCCATTCCTATAGCAATATTATAAAATGATTTTAAAGAAATATTATAAAAAGATCTTTCAAGAAAAAATTTCTATTTTTAAAAAAATATTATAAAAGGATTTTCAAGAAAGAATTTTTTCCTAAGGAGATATTATAAAAGAACTTTCAAGAAAATTAATAGTTTATCTACATTATAAATAATAGCTAATCAAGAGATTCTGATAGCAAGATAGATGGTTTTGCCCCAAATTGTAGATTTAGTCCAACAAGTCAAAACAGGAAGAAATAGATGGGACGCAAGAACTTCATTGATGATTTTTAGAGATGTATTTCCACAGCACTTACTGTGCAACTCCGTCCCAGTTTTGATGGACAACACTCCACAGAAGGGATCCGATTGTCTCCCACGCCTCTGTCCCAGTCACCAAACTTCTCGAAAAGGCCAGTATTTTATATGCCCTTACGCCGCCGACGAAAGCAAAAGTATATAGGGGAATTAAGGTCATAATGCTGAAATCCGTAAAAGACTAACATTTAAAATCAGCAAATAAACCACCTAAAAATTGGATTATTAGGAACACGACAAGGCTAAGAGAAGAAGCCTTTAATTGACTGAGCGGTAATACCATGAACATCGCTAATTCGTAACGATGTTCAAGCCCACCAGCGGCCGAGCGGTAAAGTCGCTGAACACTGGTAGTTCAGTCCAAGGTTCGAATCCCGCAAACGGGCTGGCTGCATGGGAGTTTTTGTGGTTTTCCCCATGTGTAACGCGTATACGAGCCAGTTTCCCTTAGAAAGTCCTCCACTAAGGCATCCCTTCTCTTAGGCAGATAGCCCTAGTGTGCTTTGTCATAATTAAATACACCAAACACCAAACACCGTCCCGAGTTCAAATCCTTGCAGCGGATTGATTGTATGAGAGCTTTGGTAGTGTCGGTATCCGGACATAATCCCGACAGCCGAAATCCCGACAGGGTCGAAATCCCGACAAGCCAAAATCCCGACAACCCAGAATCCCGACAGACGGAATCCCGACAGGTTCGAAATCCCGACAAACCAATATCCCGACAGGGTCAAAATACTGACACGGGCGAAATCCCAATAAGGCCTAATGACCCCTTAACATACTTCCACAGCTGTAACTAGTATATGCTTTGATGACTAGCAAATCTGAAGAAAATTACAAAAGATTATTCCAAGATTTAATTGATTTCGCTGAAGAAATTCATATTGAACTGAGGCCATCTAGAATCATTAGTGATCTAGAAAAGGCAGCTATAAATGCTCCGCTCACAATGTGTCACTGTAAATATGTCGTTTGCATGAGTAAAAATCCTTTCCTTATTTTAAATATAACGGATATTGAACCTTGTAAGAAGAACAAAGCTAAATTTTCAGAATGAAAAAAATACTTTTATTTGAATTTTAAAACAGAACCAAAAAAAAAAATAAATGCTGCAGCTCTTAACTATCAAAATTTTAAACTCTTAAACTACTACAGTTAAAACTCTTACAACTATTAAAATACTAAACATTAAACTCTCTAAACAAAATATATAAAAATCTTCCGAATCCTCTTCTTGTTGCCACACCGTAAAATGCAAGTTATTGTCCTATTATTTATATTTCACGTTCTCTTTAAGTCACGATCTTTACAAGTCATGATCTTTACAAGTCACGATCTTTACAAGTCCCCCCACAAGAAGTACATTCGTCACCGTAGAGACAATGTTGCTCAGAGTTCATTGAGAGAGAAAGAGTTAACAGCTAACCTTGACAAAGCATCAGCATTCCCATGTGAACTTCTTTTGCGGTATGTCACAGTCATGTTATACCGTTGTAACGCGAAGGCCCAACGAGACAGTTTAGCACCATGAGGGGCGCTTTGGGTCAAGTAGGTGAGGGGACTGTGATCAGTCACATTCTGCACTTTGGCACCGAAAATCCATGTGTCAAATTTTTTCCATGTCGATGACACAAAATGCTTCTCGTTCGATGATTGACCATCGTTGTTGACAGGGTGTTAGTTTCTTGCTGAAAAATGCTATGAGCATTTCTTTTGAAAATGGTTTATCTTCATTATCATTCTCACCTATGGTAGGCAATCCTAGTAGCTGTTGTTGTCCTTATCATCTTTTCTTCTCTTCTATCTTTCCAATGGCTTTGTCAAGTAGCTCAATACCATTCATCAATTGCTTCTGCTTTATCAAGTTCTTTTCAAATATGGGATTTCTGTGCTTGGTGAAAGTCTTATAAACTAAAAAAAATCTCAGCAATTTTTCTTCTGCTTTTTCTAATAATTCTTCATCAACATGATGTAGATCATCTACCTCGGGCTTTTCTATTAATTCAGCAATTCGTTCCGTTTCTTTCTCGTCTTCCAGTTCTTCGCTGTCATCCGAATAACTTTCTGTTCAATCTTCCATGTTTTCACCCTTGAACTTGAAAATTTTCTGTGGTTTTCAGTTTCATGGTGGATGACATTTTCCTTTTCAGTTTCAACTTTGTTGTATAATCCACACTTTCTTTTTCATCTCCCAGTTCAACAGTATGTATGCTGTCCTTATTGTACTTTTTGTTTCTATTATCATACAGAATTTCTTTTTCAGTAAATTGTAATAGTTCACTGTTATCTGCAAGTTTATTTTCAGTCTCAAGATTTGCAGCTTCTGTGTGATTTACATTTTCATTTTCAGTTACTAAGTCAGCTTTCACACTTTCCTTATGGATTATTAAGTCATTCTTTTTATCATCTACTTTTTCCTTCTCGTTTCCAATTTCAGCAATATATTCTTTCTCATCTATGTTCTCATCATCAAGATTTACTTGAGTTTTATTGTCATCTGCAATTATTTCTTTTTCAGCTGCAGTTTCATCATCATCTGTATTTTCTGTTTTGGTTACTGGCTTCACTTGAGTTTCACTTTCATTGACAGTTTCCTTTTCAACTGGGATTTCAGTCTCACCCATAAATTCGTTTTTACTTCAGGTGGGAATAATTTCTACATCTGTTATTTGCTGTCAATTAACTTTTCCTCTTTGAGTTCATCTTCTGTTTTCTACCCTCTTAGTTTCTTCAGTTATAATTTCTTCCTTCTGTGCTTCCTGTTCAACAATTTTATCTTCTATCATTTCTGTTTTCTCTATTTCTGTAAAGGGCAGTTCTTTACAAACTTTCACAGAATTTTTTAACATCTTGCTTAATAGTAGGCCAAAAGAATGAGTACTTGATTCGTTGAATTGTCTTTTCTCACCGAGGTGGCCGGCAAGAGGGATTTCATGTGCCATTCTTAGGACTTCCCTTCTTTTTTCTAAAGGTAACACAACTTGCTTAATGTTTTCACCACAGATATATTCGGAATGAAGTAATATGCCATCATCGAAAGTATATGAATTGTTGATTTTTATTTGCCCATTCAAAGCATTTTTTCAGAGTTTTCGTCTTGTTCTTGATGTGTCTTGAATTCTAGTCTTACTCTGTTCGTTGTTTTCAGAGACTCTATATGTTTTCTTGGGAAATCTGATTAACAACAGTCAAATTTGTAGTATTGTCTTCAACTGGTGAGGGTTTATCATCTGTCTCTTTGTACTCTAAGGGGGATGCATCCCAATGACGATCATAGTTCCACAGTTCGATATTTCCACAGAGTGTTTCATAAGCTGAAGAACTCAATAGCAAGTCGGTAACTAGCTTTTTTGAAACAGCACACGTAATGGACACTCTACCGTGAAAATCATCGTCAATTTTCATCTGGAAAATCTTTAGTGGAGTAATTTCGTTTTCACCAAAAGCAGAAGATATCACTATTTTACTTTCTCCTTCGCAAGGTATGTTGTCAACCAATTTCTCACGGACTTCTGAAATTGTGCTCCCGTGTCTACGATTCCATTTAGAATAATATCTCCACATTTAACTTTGACAAGTTTTAATTCATCTATGTTCTAGATACGTCCACTGATTTTGAGACAGGAATAGAGATCTTGGCAGTTAGCACTTCTGGTTTTCCTTTTTCTGCAAGGTGTGCTTGTGTTTGTATTAAGTTGTTTTGTGCTGTTGCAGAAGCACTTCTTGGAATCCGATTTTTGGTACATAACTTAGATGTATGACCTTTTCCACGATTACAGCAAGTTAGTTTGAAACTAGGCTTTTGTGGTTCGTCACTCTTACGGGATGGGTACACTCTTGGCGTGTTTTCAGCGTACAGAGATTTATTTCTGAAAGCTCTTTCTGGAAGTGGAGAATGAGGTTGCCATTTTTTATTAGTTCTGTCTGCTGATGGATTACCACCAGTCTGTTTTGAGATATTACGAATACTGTCATATTCGTCAAGTTTATCAGCTAATTTGGTTGGAGAAACGAATTTCGCCCAGTCGTCAAGAAGATGGTCTCTTACTTCATAGGGTACTCTTTTCTTAATTTGGTCAGTAATAATCAAGTCTTTTAACGCGGCAAAATTTGTGATTTCAAGACCATTGATCCATTCTTCAAAATAACTTGTAATTTCATAGCAAAAATCTCTCCATGATTTTTCAGTGCTCTTTTGGTGCATCACAAATTTTTTTCTAAAGCTTTCAGGATTTAATTTAAATCTTTTCAATAAAATGGTCTTAATGTACTCATAATCTTCAAAATTTTCTTCAGATTCCCTACCAATTAATTGAATGATTTCAGATGGCATTAAAGTCAATAAACATGAAACCCAATCTTTAGGATCAATCTTTGTCCTTTTAGCTTGTCTTTCAAATAAGGATAAATAAATCACAATATCATCGTGTCTTAAATTGAATTTGGGAATAAGCTTAATTAAATCAAAATTATGATGTCCATTTTCATTTGTTGGTGGAGTTTGTGTTAATCGAACACGAGATTCAATTTCAAGTTTCCTCAATTCAAACTCCATTTGCTCTCTTTTCTGCTGTGCTTCTAATTCTTCTTTCTTCGTTGTTGTTCCTCAA